AGCAGGTCTCCTTCCCCCACAGTCTCCCCCGGCTTACAGTGGACACTCTTAACCTGTGAGGACACACGCGTAGTCAAACACAAACTTTAAATAGTGCATTTACAGTTTTAGAAACACACCACTTAAACTCTGTGCTCTGGATCGCGGGTGTCAAACTCCAGTCTTTCAGGGCCGATGTCTGTCTACACTTCCTGTTAAAGCAGCTCATGAGTGCAATAAACAAACTTTTAGAAGTACATTTTTCTAAAAACATTTACTTATATAAATATATATTTAAATTTACTTGAGTAGGGTTAGGGGTTGCCTCCTCAGCATGCAGTCAGGTCACTGTAGAGTCTTGCTAATCACATATTAATTTTATTTAGGTGTGTTGCAGCAGGAACCATGGTTCCAGGACTGGAGTTTGACCCCCCGACCTAGATAATACTACTGAAATCTAGTGATGGGAGTAACTGTCACATTTCCTGTTACCTTCGCTTGCTTGACAGCAGTCAAACTGTTCTGCATCTTCATGGCTTCAATTACACAAATCTCCTGACCTTCTGCAACCTAAAAGAAAACAGAGTGTGTAAAAGCAAAGCTTAACTGTAAATTTAAATGTTTAAGAAGGGATACGATGACTAAACGCTACTGCTGTTGCCTTCCGTGCACCATTTGTCAACGTGCACATATTCAAGAGATTTATTTGAAGCTCAGGCTGCCATCCACGAGCAGCGACAGAGACCGGCAGCACGTAGACTCCAAATGTTTCCTGTGACAAACTGATGGCATTTTGTTAATAATGGTTTTCCTTTTCACTGATTGGCCCAATCTCCTGGCTCTGTTCCCAGTGGTGACTGGACCTGGTCTTACAGTGTTTTTCTACTTCACCTGAGCAGTCAAAGCTCTTTAGACAACATGCCTCATTCACCCATTCATACACAGGGTGCTCAACCTCATTTTAGCATTACGCTGGTAGGTTTTCTGTGGTACATTTAAAATAAGGCCCAACAACATTCAATGACTCTGATCTATGAATATATAAGAACATGAAATGTCCAAATACATTCACAGGCTGCATTCAACAACTCACCAACTTCAACTTTGATTCTATGATTAAGAATTAAAATAATGTTGAATCGTTTCTGCACATCTGCACAGTCTCACCAGCAACATGTCAACTACAGCAGGCTTTTCCCCCATTATGAGCTCATTAAACAGCATTTAAATGACGTGTACATATTGAATGTGTTACCGTATCTCCAGGTTTGACAGATACGGCCACAACTGTTCCCGGCATCGGTGAACGCAGGATGCTGCTCGTGTCCTCTGAAACTTTTTCTGGCATGTAGGAGTTCAACTCTGCAGCCAGCTTGGACAGAACTCGAACCTTAAACTATATTTACAAGAAAAAGAAGCGTATGGGGAACAGTGGGAGGTTTGGCACTGCAATATATCAATAACATGGAACGTTCTTCTGATCCAACACACAAAAAACATATATATATATATATACACACACATGCAGATTTATCTATGATGCATTATGAGCATCCTGGGGTCCAGCTCAGGTACTTGGAAACCAGCGGTGGCTAGCACTCAGCCTCAGCTATCCAACACTAAGCAAAACAGTCTGAGGACATGAGCTTTTCCACAGACTCCAAGATGAAGCTATTACTAAGTTCAGATTTGTTGATCAATCACAGGGTTTAAACTGAAATAAAGTAAAAGGATTTTATTATATTAACTTGTACAGACCAAGTCAAGCTAATAATGGTTGGGGCAGGGGTCAGCGACCTTTACGACCCAAAGAGCCATTTTATTAAAGTGTTTTGTTTATGAAATCCATGAAGTTACAGAGAAAATTACATTTTATTTATGTAATTAACACATTTTGAACTCTTAAAGAAATATAACAAAAGAAAGCTGAACTAAAATGATCCAGCAAACTAAAACTGCTGTGAGCTGCCCTCATATCTCCTTTGGGCTTTTGGAGCCTTGACCTGACTTTTAAAAAGTAATTGGAAAAAAATCTCTATGCTGCTAAAAAATAGATATTTGCAAAATTCTGCCTAAATATGTATTTTACCAGGTTAATGTGTGTGGCGGGGCGTGGTCTGCAAAACTGCATCGTTCCTCCTGAATCCTGGTTCGACTAACAAATGGATTCCTCCGGTACCCTGGCACAGACTTTCTTTAGGAGGCTGAGGAGTGTGATCCCCTTTACTTAAACGGAGGAACCACCGTCTGCTGGTTCTTTCCTATGCTCGCAGTGCACTTTAATACTTTAATTCACTCATTCGAGCACTTGTATCTATCTTACATTCACACACATTCATGCATCGGAGAGCAACTCTGGGTTCGTGTCTTGCTCAAGGATATCTGGCATACAAACTGGAGCAGCCATGGATTGAACCTTCAGATTAGTAGATGCTCTACCTCCTGACAGCTGCCTCTGGAGCCCTACAAGCTAACCAAGCTCAGTAACACTCATCCAGTTTCTGATTCTGGGATTAGCACTGTGACAGGTATCGACAACCTTGTGGCAGCTTCAGCAATGGAGGTGTGGACCACGGTCGCAGGAATCAATATCCCGAGCCGACTCTGAATGCAATCACAACTCTTTAATGGTGGGAACAGACGAGTCTGAGACTGGAGCCACTGCCAGATGTTCCCAGCACAGCCTCACTATACTTTTGCATACACCAGGTTTCTCCAGCATCTCCACCTTTCACCTGATCAAACGTTACACCCTGTGGTTATCGGTTAGCTTCCAGACACTCGCCTACATTTTGAATTATTCAGTCTTACCAAAGTGCCCAGGTACTGTAGGACAATCACTCCTGCAGCATCTCTGGAAAGGCACTAGAAAAAGAGAGAATACATCATCTGTATTACAGCTGACATCATTATTTTATTGTTACTGGTGAGTTTAGCACATTTCTGCTCTAAATTTGTTCTGCCAAGACGCCGTGGCCCCCAGTTTAAAAAGCTTGCTGCGTCTTCAGAGGGTCAGACAGGAAGTGACTGAACGCACTGATAAAAGCTGCACCACAGACAGACAGTGCTCTT